CATCGTGAGATGGAACTCCAAATTTCATTCGCCTCCATTACTCTTAATCATCATGAAATCCTAAGAAAACCCTTTAGTCCATTACTCCATTATTGTCTCTAAAGTCCAATCCATCTACTTAGAAAAGTTGGCAAACCGAAAGTTAAGCAGATGTGGCCACTTGTAGAGAGACCGTGGCCACATTACGCACGATGTAGCTTCGAGAGAAGAAAATCGTATGGGGTTATTTTCTGATCGGTTTTGTCAACCATTTTTGTTATCATCATACTCTTGGGAAAAAAATTGCACCTATACCTGTTTTCTATTACTTGTTACTAATTAATCTCAAAAATTTCCACACTCGATCAAAATATTTTATTCTTCTCTAATTGAAATCAGTATATTTTCGACTTAGTACTTTAAACTCTGAAGTCCAATCCATGTGGATACGATCTTGGTATTTTTACCACTTTATCATCTGAAAGCAATCATAGCAGTTTACATACATTTATCTCGTAATGCACCACATTTGTGGGTATATTCACTTGCTATCACACATGTTATTGGATTTTATCATCGTTTTTATTGCATCTGGCCTTTGATTGTCCCTAAAATACAGGTTACTATTCAATTATCTGTTAAATATTAATGAACATATGAATATACAATCAGTTACTACATCCAAAAGAGTTGGTAAATAACGATACCCGATTAAGATATATTGAATAATTGAGGTCAAAAAGCTTTGTTGACCATGTTGTAAAATTTGAGTCAATGAAATAAAATGTCTCGATGACAAGAACCATATTTTTAATAATTAGTTTGTAGTATTTGATATCACTGATTTTTATTTTGAAAATGTAATAAGACTTTAAAAACATGTAACGAGTTGGCTAACAAAATTGACTTTTATGTAGCGTTTGGTATGCATACATGATTGGATAGGGCTGAACAAAAATAAATGTATGTTTGGTGTTTGGTACAATTAAGATTGGACAAGACATAACTAGACAAGTTGCCCCAAAAAATTATTTGATGATTTTATATATTATATGATAGTTGTAATTAACATAAATAAAATAAATAATTTAATTCATAGATACTTTTACACAATTTTTATATAATCAAATACAAGATAAACTTCTCATTTTAAATATAAAAAATTTAGAATATAATTAGAAAAATCATTGAGTTCTACCATAATATCTAATTATTATCTTTAAAAAATTTTATTATTAAATCAAAATTAAATTGCTTCCTTATTAAATATAATTAAATCGTAACAAAAAATTTAAATTAAAAAAACTTAAAAAAAAATAGAATTTTTATACTTTTTTTAAATTTTATTGTATCTTCAAATTTATATTTATTTAAAAATAAAAACTATTTAACGTCGTTGTAGTACAGTGGTAAGGGTTCTGTCACCGGCAACGGCGATTTTATTTTTATATTTTCCGACTGTCTTCCGGCGAACTTCTTTCTTTTATAAGAATATCGATATCGCCAATACATTCAACGAAGTCGTTGTAGTATAGTGGTAAGTATTCCCGCCTGTCACGCGGGTGACCCGGGTTCGATCCCCGGCAACGGCGATTTCATTTTTTATATTTTCCGACAGCTTTCCGGCGAGTTTCTGTATTCTATAATTTCTACAATACTACCAATGCAAATAACAAATGTCGTTGTAGTATAGTGGTAAGTATTCCCGCCTGTCACGCGGGTGACCCGGGTTCGATCCCCGGCAACGGCGTTTCTACCACATTTTTAATTTTCCGACCACTAATTCAGATGATAACAACCGTAATATCGCCGGAGCAACAAGAAAGCAGTTGAGGATATGTCAACACCATTTGATATATCGTCTTTCCGACTATGATTTGGTATACATCAAGCGACATTTCTTAATTTTTTCATGTGGGTATCACTGCTGCCGCCGCCGCCGTTTTGTGTATGTGGATGAACTCACGCCGGTGTTGAAGCAATGCCCACCTTATGATTAGTGGGTTTTCCACGGCGGAGGTCGTCGTTAGGGAAGGTCGTCATGGGTTAAAGACATAGTGTGTACTCAACCGCATAAACAGCCGGCATGGCGGTGGACTCATCCCCTCCGACGAGTTCAAATACACAGAATCGGTCTGACTCACTTCCCTCCGGCGAGATGCAAGTACCACATTGCTTCATGGATAGCTGGTGGATCTTTGAGGAAATCTACTGAACATAGAATATCTTTGAAGCCATTAGTCAACACATTCAGAAACTAGAACTTTAAACAATGATAAAAAATAGTTCTAGCACTAAACAAACACACTTTCTTTTTTATCATATACTTGTAAAAAAGTATATTTTCATGTTAATTCAAAATAGCTCAAACGTTGATATGAATCAATGCTCCGTTTACCACAAAGTATTAACCGGTACGAGTAGCTCGAAAACTAGTTTCTATCCAACTAGTCGGAATCAGTCACGAACTTGGTGACAACTGATTGATGCCTTAAGATATAGCAACAACCGTTTCTAGCTTAGCTAATATTTAGACGCCAAATACTAAAACTATAATATGCAAACTTGTAATGTTAACCAATCACATGTCAATCGAAGAATACTTCTTACAATAACGAAATAAGAAACAATTACAGATTCCCTATTCCATTTAGCAGATCAGAATCAGATTTTATAAAATAGGGGATTCTACCTGAATTGAAAACCCGACTAAGAGGGTGTTTGAGATTGCTTATTTGAAACAGCTTATGTTTTTCTATAAAACAATTATCAAGTTATTACAAGTCAAAAAGGTTTAACTTCTTCAAAAACTTCTTATTACCGATTTGACGCCGATATAAAAGATTCAACATTAAAATCGAAATTTGTATAAAAGAAATAACATTGAAGTTGAAATCAAGTCTCAACACCATCCAATACCGTCCGAAAAGAACGTGGTTGATTGTATAAAAGAAATAACATTGGCCTTGGGCTGAACCGTGGACTTATTCTTCTTCTTTTTTTTTTTTTTTTTGGGCTGCCATTTCTTTTGCTGTTGTTTTTTTAAATATATAATATTTATATACGATAAATGCAACAAATAAACTCACACACCCTCTTTACTTTTGTTCACATTGTTTACTTTCTTTCAATTTCATTTCATATTATTTACAAACAAAATCCACAACACTAATGCTTTCAATTTAATCCAATGCAAAACAAGGAAGTTCATTGAATGCACAAAAGAGAGATTTCATTTCATTTCAAAACAACAATTACATTAAAACCATAAATAATTGATCTTTATTATAGATCTGGTCAAAGTCGAAGGTAAAATATTAACAACAAAATCAAACTAATGAACCATAAGGGTGGTGCCTGATTGGTTTGAACTTGGCTCCAAAGGTCAAAAGTATCAGGAGGTCGCAAGTTCAAATCCAAGGAGGAAAAAAAAAATCCCCTTGTGGCCACGGAGGTTCAAATGCGATGACTCCGGGCTATCTGCAAAGCAGGTGGTCACCCTAGAATTAGTCAGCTCGCATAGCGGGTTAGATATCCAGGTTAATAAAAAAAATACAACTTATGAAGAACAAGGTTTTCCATCTTCTCGCTTCAATTGGCTTTGCATTCATTTTCCCTTCAAGGGTTTTTTTTGACCTCAGTAAACCAGGTATCATCACCATAAATCCAGTACAAGCTGGATCAACTCACCCAAGAAAGGGGAAATTAGATCCCTGAAAAAAAAGTTAACGTAAATTAGGGGTTACATAATCACGGAAAAACTTACATTTCATGAACATCCGTGAAAATTGTGGCCTGGGTTTGTGTTCGTCTAAGAAGTAAGCACCATTATGCGTGCACCACAGTAGCACTATTGCATTTTTATGACCGAAGAGATGAAGAAGGAATGGCGAGTCGATGAGAAAGATATATGGGTAGCATGAGAGAGAAAGAGAGGTAATCTATTTATTAAATCAAAAGAAAAGAAAAGTTAGATGGACAGTTTTGTCCTCGCGTGCTTTGCATGGGCTACTTAACGGGTATAAATAGATGGTCGTCAGAGATTGGAATTGGATCCAACAAAAACTACATACCATAAGGCATTCTATATAATAGATGAAGTCTGAGAACTAATTTCGTAAAAATCAACTTACCGTATAGGGACCAAATCTGTAATTTACTCTTTATTTAACGATTTTTAAAGACACCTGTTAGAAATGTTGTAAATAGTTGTCCTATTTGCAAAAAATACAATATATATATATATATATATATATATATAGATGATGTTTACTTTGCAAACCACGTTATTTGTACAAACCTCATTCAACCAATTATAATTTTTCATTTTGTTCATTTTTTTTGTAATTATGAGAGATTGATTAATCATTTTTATTGTGGATTGTGTTAATCATAGATATTATCATTTTCGTTATATTAAGTTTAGAGAAATATATGAAACAATTTCATTAAAATTTCACAAGTATTATATGAAACAATTTTATAACCATATATGAAACAACTTTATCAAAAACAGTATTATATGAAACAATTTCGTAAGATTAAACAATGAAATCGACGAATGAGAGCGATTTGCACGATTTGTACGATTTGCATTTATATATATTATATATACTACGTTATTTAATTAAAATAAATTAGAATAAAATTAAAAAAATAATTATAAGAATAAAAAAGCAGCAGTATATTTGGACATCTTGTGTTCCTCTCTTATCCTAGCAATCATTACCCCTAATTCGTTAATGTGTATGCACCCACATGACAGTACAATGAGCTTCTACATTTTAACTTCAATCTTAACCATTCAATAAATCCATCCAACGGCCACTGAGAATCTCATTACAACATACAATCAAGTTCCTCGTGTTCCTTCACACATGATTTTTGCCCACTTTCAGTCCTTGAGCACTTTTACATCAGAAAAAGCAAACACATTATTCACAGAAGCTCAGGGAGAAAGAATGGCGAATTCGTCGTGATTGAGTATGTAAAATTTCACACATTTCACGACGTAATTCTCATTTGAAACGCCAAACCCACATACCCATCATCGGTTTTTCTCATTCTTGGACCTTTACATACATCGTGAAGGAGACAATTTGAGGTGGGTTTGGTTTTGTTTTGAGGGAGACAGGGGAAGAGAAATGATGTGGGAAGGGGGATCGTCATCAGCGGCGGCGGAGGAAGCCGCTGGTGGTGGTGGTGGTGGAGGGAGGAGGAAGCCGTCGTGGAGAGAGAAAGAGAATAATCGGAGGAGAGAGAGACGACGGAGAGCTATTGCGGCCAATATCTTCAATGGATTGAGGGCACAAGGAAACTACAATTTGCCTAAGCATTGTGATAACAACGAGGTCTTGAAGGCTTTGTGTAAAGAAGCTGGTTGGGTTGTTCTTCCAGATGGCACTACTTTTCGTAAGGTATAATCTTAATTTCACTAATTACTTATTCCTAAATTTGAGTAGAATTGAAGGATTCATCTGCATTTATGGCGATTGGTTAGATCTAGAGGTTTATGAACTGGTATCTCTTCACTAAAATCGAGCTAAATTGATGAGAATCGATAGGATTCTGCAAATGGGTGTGTTTGATTTTGGGATTTCTTTCGTCGATTGTGGATTTTTGGATTTTTAACTTATGGATCTAACCATCTGATTTGATTTTCTTGAGATTTCTTATAGAAACCCTAATTTGTTCTGAATTTGAATTCTGTTTGTTCAATTTGCCAGTTCTTCCTGTTGTACATTTTCAGATGATGATGGCTGCAACTAGATTCTTACCCAGAATGCCAATTGTTGAGATTTGTATGAAAACTTATAGATGTTCAATGATCAAATTAAACCTAATTTCAAGAAATTTGCAGAAATTGCTTACTTAAATTTCATCAATTGAACACATGAAAACGAATTGTGTGATGGAAGGTTCAAAATCTTCATGAATATGGTTCTTTATTATGAATTTATGATGCAGATTTTGATTCAAAATCGCAGGGATGCAAGCCATCACCTTCCTCCATTGAAATCAAATGCACATCAGCCAACACAACACCATCTTCTTCCCAGAGACCGAGTCCACCATCTTCATCGTTTCCGAGCCCATCCCGCCTTGATTCCAAAAACCCGCCATCAAATAACCCTTTCGGCTTTCTTTCCAACTCCATTCCGCCATCACTCCCACCTCTGCGTATCTCAAGCAGCGCCCCTGTGACCCCGCCTCTTTCTTCCCCAACTTCAAAGTTTCCGAAAAAGAACAATCTTGATTGGGAAGATTTCACCAAACAATACACTTCCACCTTCAGTCTGCCAGTTTTTGCATCATCGGTGCCCACTAGCCCGAACAGGCACCAGCGGTTCAGGCCTGCTACTATACCAGAGTGCGATGAGCCTGATTGGTGCACCACTGGCTCCTTCCAACGGCTGAGGTTCCAAGATTGTGATCCAATGATGGTGAACCCCAATTCTCCGACATTTAACCTTGTGAACCCAAATGCTCGAGTGGTTGCCACCAATGATCCGATCCGAGAGAAGGGGAAAGGGGTGAAGGCGTGGAAAGGTGAGCGGTTTCATGATGTTGGTTTCGATGATCTTGAACTCACCCTTGGAAGCGGGACCGCTAAGATATAAGCGTACGTATATTGATTGATGCTGGAATTCTCAAGATTTGAAGACTTAGAGGTTAGAATATGCATCGAATTCTTTTGAAGTGACGAGTGATCTTAAAGATTCGATCTTGATTTTGGATTTTGGTTCATCATTTTAGTGAATAGAAAGCCATGTTTATGATTCATGTGGATATTGGTATGGTGAAGAAGCTTGATCATGTCTATTGTAGAATCTGGGTTTCATCTCAAAGTTGGAAGCAATTGGCATTGAGATGAATCTTTTATGGTGTTATGAATCAAATGGAAATTATTTGATATGAAACTTGCACTTATGTTACATGAGATGAGATGAGATGAGATGAGAGCATCTTCAACAATGCTTTAAAATGTATTTACAGATTATTTGCTCTAAGAGATACTTTAAAATGTTCTCATTTAAAATAAAAGAAACGGAAGGAAAAGAGTTGTTTTATTTGCTGATTGGTTTGAGTTTGGACTTTAAAGGTCAAAAATGTCTGGAGGGTCCAGGTTCAAATCTAAGGAGGAATTAAAATCTACTTGTTTCCACGGAGGTTCATATGCGGTGACTCAAGCGAGTGGTCACCCTGGAATTAGTCGACTCACATAGCGGGTTGGATATCCAGGTTAATAAAAAATTTGGTAATTTTGTAATTCTTTTAGAGGGTTTAAATTTCTTTTCTTTATTTAGGAGGAAATTTATCAAGTTATTGTTGCTTTTTCATCTGTTTTCTTTTCTTTAAAGAGGTTTCAAGAACATAAGTTTTGTTTAATCTTTCATCTCTTGTTTTTTTTCTCCCTTTCTTTCATAATAAAGGTTTCAAGAACAAGATATTGAGTATAAAGAAGTATTATTTTAATTATTCTCACTAATAAAGTTGGACGTGTTATTAGTAACTAGAAGGATACTCGTACAATGCAGTGAGATACATCTCAATTTTAGTGTTTCGTTTTTTTTTGTCTCCGTCGATATTATAATACGGTTTTTTTTATGGTTTTGAGAAAACAACAACGTTTTTATTTTTCAATAAAATATAAATATGAAGATGTCATAAAAAATTTAAAAAATATATTTATATTAGTATTAAAATCTTTCTTTTTTTATTTCTTTAATTTTTTTATTTTTTATTTAATAATATAATTTTTTATAAAATTAATAATTAA